ATAAGCAAGGGGAAGTGAAAGCAAACAAGCAAAGCTTAATTGGTTTCTTTTTTTTTTTTTTTTCTTTTCTTTTGAAGACAAGCACTGGAAAAGTATTCAGCGTGGTTGCCTTGTTTGAAAACAATGTGGAGATAACTTTATACAAGAATGGTGGAAGTCTAAACTTTGTGGCTCGAAGATTCTTATAGTAGCTACTGACTCTCTGGGTACCCTGCATAACTGGTAACTCAGCAAATGCCTTGTGTGTACCCAGGAATCTGTACTGTGGAACTGCAAACAGTCCTAGTGTGCTCCAAGTTACTTCGTCCATGGATGTAAAGATTGTGAATCATTGTAACTGCAACGAGATCCTTTCTGATTTTAAATAATATTCTAATGGTGCTATTGAACATTGCTAAAATCAACATGTGTATTGTGACAAGAGAGCTGTAAGTATGGAGGGGATGTTTTATCAGACCATTTTGTAAATAAACTATGCGAAATCAAAACTGATTGTGCTGAGGATTATTATGTAAGAAGATTTTCTGTAGTTGTTTCCACTCATTTTTTGCACCTGTAAGTCTGTATACTGCTGTTTGTTGGTTTCAGAGTGGCAGATGGCATGGAATCTTAAAGGCCAAACAGATTTTTTTTTTTTCCTCAACCAGAGCTTAAAAAAGGTACAGAGTTTTCCATTTCTTTAGGTTATGGGTGAACAAAAAGCAGTCCACATGAGGCCCATGGTATCTTGTATCACAGATGTTGACTTCCTCACCTTTATGGGATTATATTTCCTCTGGATCCAGATTTAAACTGCTCAAGCTATGAAATATGTGAAATTCTGGGTGCTTAGAAATATGGAAAACATTTCTGCATTTAAAAACAAATCTCCCAGTTGTTTCATTCATGCAGGTTAAGCCATGTTTCTTCTTGCCCTTCCATTAAAGTTTGTCACATCTGCTTCGAGGGATGCACTTTGTCATTTGTGCTGTCTGTTTTTATTGTGCTCTCTGCAATATCATCAGTGTATCTCCTTGTAATGTTTTAACCTTTAAAGCCTTTTAAAACATTTGCTAGGGCTGTTTAAATTACTCTGCTTTAAATACAACCTGTCTAATACATTACACGTGTCAGATGTCGAAGAGCCAGGTGGCCACACTGCCTTTGAGTGCTTTCTCACGTGCTGGCAGCTCCCAGCTCTTACAGAGCATCCCCTTCTGAGGAGGAGCCTGGAGCACTGAACAAACCTGTCTTTCATGGCACAATTCCAGCTGGCTGGAATTGTCAGCACACTGAGGGTAAAGCCCCTGTTCCATAGCTCATATTGGCAGGAGATGCAGAGTTGCTGCAGCGTGGCTTGTGTTCCCACTTCACAGAGCTTAGGTGCTGTCTGAGCTGTGCAAGTGAGTCTGCAACTCCAGCAGGCTCTTCCTGTGCTCCTGTCTTGAAAAGCTTCATAACTCCATTTACAGTTTGTGTAGAATTTAATTTCTTCTAGAGAACAAAATTGCAATATTTGCCTTTAAATTGTCAAGATTTTGCTTTAGGGATTTTTGTTGTTGATAAATGTCTTAAATATCAAAACATTCAAGAGGACTATATTAGCTTTATTTACATGTACTTTTATAACCAGACACTGAAATAGTTGACTTGTGAACTAACAGATGAACTATTCAAATCTTTAAATAGTAGGTTTGACATTCCTTTAAAAAAAGCCCTGAACCCAAAATACCCCAAACCTCTTGCATAATTATATCAATACAGTGTGTTAATTTTTTGACAGTTCAAAAGCCAAGCTAATTTGATTGACATAAATTTGATACTTATTTTTCTGTTTTGGTAGACAAAGTTCACTGAAGTTTGAAGTTCTGTATAATCTGTTTTCATATTTCTCTAGTTTGATGTGATTTTCTTTTAGGTGAGATGAAAAGCATTGCGGTGACTCCTGCCATTTCTAAGGGGGATAAATCAATGCGGTTTTGAATATTATATTCTATTGAATGCTGAACGGGTTCCTGTTCTGTGGTACATTTCCATTAATTCTATCCAGAGTGACTGGGCAGATCCTACTTCTTGTACAACTATGTGTAATACTATTTTGTCCCAGCTCAAATGTATATTCTTGATTTAGTTCAAGGAAATGCTACTGGGGAGCAAATGGGAATTTAGTGCTGGTACATAATAGTGCCTCATGCAGATGGTGCAACTGCAACTCCATGCCTATATACAACTCCATGCCTATTACTAATGCTTGAAGGAAACACAGCCACCTGCCCTTTCTCCATGCTTCAGGACACAGGGATCCAGGCCACGTCAAGGCAGGCTGATGAGGTGAAGTGCAATTTCAAGGCATGTGAGTTATCTGCAAGTTGCCACCAGTAAAGCAAGTCAGTTCTTTTTAGAGACATGGAGGCTTCATGACCTTAGCAGTTGCTTTAATTCTGCTACGCTGATGTGTCTTGTAGTCCACGAGAGAGAAGTTCTGAGCTATGCTTGGGCATAGGGGCTGCTCAGCTGGAGGCTCCTGTTGTTGCTGCAGCAGGTTGAGCTCTCAGCAAGCTCAAGTCTGGCATTTCTGAGGTGTGCAGGCTGACTCCTACCCCTGAGGGGTGGGGGTGCTGTGTGGGACAGCACTGTCCATGTGCCATCGGCTCAGTGCAGGGGAACACCTGGCTCGTGACCCGTGAGAACAGCCCTGTTCCTCTCCCCCGTCCAGGGTGCAGCTCGGGAGCCCAGCAGTCAATGAAGACATTTAACTCTGGGCACACTGCTGGGACCCTGAGAGCCATAGGTGGGCAGGAGTGGCAGGAACCCTCTGGCAGGGGCAGGCCATGGGACAGTCAGGATTTCTGTGCTCACACACCAAACATTCAGTTAGAGCTCTCTTTGGTATACTAAAGCATAGGAGGACGTGTACCTGTTTGAGAAGTGACTCTGTGTTAGATGTATTTAACCTAGACCTCTCTCCATTTGGATTTGTGGGGAGAATCTTGTTAAAATTTTTGTAAATGTTTTCTCTTCTTGCTTCCCTCTTCCTCCCCATCCCAAACTACAAAGTTTTGGGATAGTGTTGATGTTTATACATTTTACACCTAAGTATAAGGACAAGAAGCTATGTATATTAATCCTATTTAAGCAAATGCAAATCATTGTCTGCTGTTTAAAGCCAACAGAACAGTCTAAGTTTTAAATTCAGTAAGTATTGTATAGATATATCTTAAGTTCAATTGATGAAAATTGTGCATACAATGTTACCAATGTTGTAAATTATTTTTAATAAAGAAAATTGTATCACAGTTCTTGTATGTTACTGTCTATTTTGAATAGATAGTAAGGAATACACATAAAATGGTACTCTGTGTGAAGACAGCGTGAATAAAGAAAGGGGATAATATTGTATATTATATAATGATGCATGTTCCATTTACTTGTTAGGAGTCAGTTTGGGCTCACAAAGCATGCTTAGCTGGTGAGGAAGAATGTTCTCTGGGTTAGCTGTGCTCCAGACTCTGGATGTTGTATCAAATGCTGTTTTAATAACTTTTTCTTTCCCTTCTGAAAAATGTCGCATTTTAAATCTGGATGAAATCCTGTATTAAAGCAAGCTGTTTGTCAAGCTTACAACTCTGACAAGATCCTCAGAAGTGATTTGGGGATGTCCAGCACTAACCTACTTCAACCCTCACTTTCAGCACAGGCAGTAGACTAGAGTTCAACTCATGGATGCTAAATTATTCAAATCTATCTTTCTTCGGATAATAAGCGAGGACAAACAGGCAGGAGAGGTACAGAAGTTTATGTCTTTGCTTTCGGCAGTCCAGTCTGGCAACTGAAGCAAGAGTAAGGAGTAAAGATCTACAAAGTGCATTGTAATCTCCTTTGCAGAATTCAGGAGTGCATTTCTGTAACCAGCTGTGTTAAACCACAGCAAGAATACTTTCCCACTGCATCGATTTTACTCCAACGAGCTAAAGCTTTAGGGCCTCAGAGGAGAGGGAGTCCTAAATATTTTAGAGCTCTATTCTTTGTGAAAAAAAAAAAACAAACCCTTAATTTTGTGATTTCTAGTGAGAAGAGTTGGTCAATTACTTTCATTAACATCTGTTCTGAAATTGGAGAGAAAAAAATTGTTTCTTGGGGAAATTGTTTCCATTTTCTAAATTCCCTATTTGATTAAAATAAGCATTTGATGAAGATAATGTTTTCAATCTTGGGTCCCTAATATTACAAACAATACTGAAATTTTGAAATTTTGTGGTAGAGGATTTTTAACTGATTTACTTAAGATGCTTCAGGTGTTGTTTGGGTTTGGGGAGGAGGGTGGAGTTGTTGGGTGTTCTTCAACATGTCTTTCCTAAATTCCTTTTTCTTCAGGTTCCTAATTCTGTCATAGCACGACATTAACTACAGCAGATTACCTTTTTTTCATTAGGAGTTTCAGAAGGTATTTCTATATTAATCTTAAGGTTTGTCATTGTTTTCATTAAGGGTCAAATTTTCTAGGACTGGACCTACTGTCCCAGTGAAAACTTTCTCTGGGACAGTCTAAAGGATATCCTGAGCAAGATGCCTCAGGTTTGTTATATGTATTTATATGTGGTCTTCAGTCCAAGCATTTGGCAGAGATTTTGATATGGTGTGCTGATAAAAGGGTTTAAAGAAAATAATAAAACGGATGTCTTCCCTCCTGACCGCTGCGGGCGCAGGGTTTTTTAAGTATTCTGCCTTTGTGACAGGAAGTCGTAGCTTTCCTGCCCCCTCGTGCCGCCGCGAGACAAAGCCCGCGGCCCGGAGGGAGGCTGCGGCTCCGCTGCCCGGGCCGGGGGCGGCGCGGGGGCCCCGGGGGGCGGCGCGGGGGCCCCGGGGGGCGGCGCGGGGGCCCCGGGGGGCGGCGCGGGGGCCCCGGGGGGCGGCGCGGGGGCCCCGGGGGGCGGCGCGGGGGCCCCGGGGGGCGGCGCGGGGGCCCCGGGGGGCGGCGCGGGGGCCCCGGGGGGCGGCGCGGGGGCCCCGGGCCCGCCCGGCCGCGCTCGGAGCGGCGCAGCCCCGGCCCGCGGAGCACACGGCGCTCCGGCAGGCGGGGCCGGGCCGGCCGCAGCTTGGGCAGCTCCTCGGCCTCCCCGCGCCGGGCAAAGGTTGGCGCGGCTCCCAGCGAGTCCCGGGGTTGCGCTCGTCTGGGGAGGGGCGAGATTCCTGCAGCTGGGCAGGCGACAGACGAGCGAACGTCGGCAGGTTTGTGCTCTTTCTTAGCACAGGAATTTGGAAGGCCGCGACCAAGCAGAAAGATTTAATCTGCTTCAACGTTATGATTTACTAAAGTAATTCTTGCCTGTTGCAGGCACGAACTGATGATCTGTTCAGGGATTCAGCAGCTCTGGTCCTGAGGGAGTCATTCCTACTATCAACAATACATGGTTAGGCTGCTGCTAGAAATGAGCTAATAAAAGCTTGGTTAATAAGATCTTCATGTCTGCTGTTCTGAACAGATTGATTGTATCTCTCTAGCAGTCTTTCTTTGGAGGGGCTGCAGCTTAAGTATTTGATAAGCTATGATGTAAGAAACCTGAGCTGGCTCAAGGGGTTGGTTTTCTTTGCTTGTTTAATAAATGTAGGAAACTTCTCCAGTAGCTGAATGCATTTTGTTGCAGTAATTACTGCTTTTGGTGTCAGAATACAGATCAGATCATCCAGTTTTTCTTTTTTTCCTAGAGGCATAATGTCTTCTGGAAATGACTGTCAGTCCCAGACCTTGACCAAGCCCACATTTGGTGAGAGAGAGGCAGCTGAATTGGTTGACAGGGTGTTTGGATTGAAGGTGTCTTGGATCAGGTCACTCCCCAGCTACGATGATCAGAACTTCCATGTGCGTGTCTCAGCTGAAGGTGCCGATGAGTATGTCCTCAAAATCACCAATTCAGAAGACAGCCAGGAGCCTGACCTCATTGAAGCGCAGACCCAGGCCATGATGTTTCTCAGTGCTGAAGGCTTCCCTTCAGCTACGCCTTATTTGACAAAAGATGGTAACATAATGTCTCTGGAGTCAGGAGGTGAGCCACTGTGGGCACCTTTACTGCCCCACTCTCACCCTTAGCTCAGCAGTAGCTTGCTATATGGCATACCATGTGTATGTGTGCTAAAGGGAAACTAGGCTTGTGTTTGAATAGTAGGGATATGCATCAGGTGACCTGTATTCCAGCCACAATAGTCCAAAGTTAAAATACCAGAAGCAAAGCAACTCAGAGAGCGTTAATAACTAACTAGGAAAACACTTAGGAAAACACTTCAGCTTAAGGAATTGGAGAAGACATTTATCTGACATGTGTCCATGCACAGGAAAAGTTTAAAATGCCTCATTGACTATGTGATGCTTGAAATTATTTGCCTTCAGAATAATGTACCACACAGTTCTAGCCCATCTCTGAAGCCAGAATAAATTGCTTTAATAGTGCTTGGAAGAAAAATTGTGTTAGCATGTAACTTTCCTACAACATTTAGGATTCTTGAGACCTGTTCCACTGCAAAACTTTATGTGGGTGTGTGTGGGCACTAGAGGAACCCTGCTTGGTGACGAGCTTTCCTCAGCATAGATTTTCTAAGTGTGTTAAGGTTTGTACATTATTACACAACATTCTGTTAAATCAAATTTTTGCATTTTTATGAGCTACATCTGACAACTTCTACACTGGGATACACCTTTTTTGCCTCTTGCATTAACTGATGCTCAGCACAGAGCAGAGTGACTGCATCTCTCCTTGTCAGGTACTAGACTTGGGAGCAAGAAGTACATGGTCAGACTGCTGACTTACCTGCCAGGTACACCAGTAGCAAAAATCACCACCAATGCTCAGATTCTGTATGAGATTGGGAGGCTTGCTGCCAGCCTGGATAAAGTGCTCTTAGAGGTGAGTTCTCATGCTTTAGCCTCACACTTCTCTCTTAATCGGTGTCTCTTCAGCATTTGCTCACGTGCTTGCTGCCTGGTTTTCAGACCTTCGAAATGCAAGTTGGTGACTGCAGATGTCAGTGACTCATGGCTCAGGTGCCAGCCTCCAAGCTGGCTAAAGCCTTTCCCAAAGTACACGACAAGTGACATGGTACTGGTGATACTTCTGCAATGCACTTTTGTACCATGAATAGGGTGATACAGAGTTCTTTTTATTTATGCAAAGCTCACCCATTAGTGTTTCAAACCTGGCAAATAAAGGAGAATGAAGCCTAGGGTGCTTGAATTAGAAGAACAGAATGCCAGGCTTGTTTTAAAGGATTTTTGTGTAGTGCTCAGCTGGCTGATCTATTATTTTGAATTTCCTTTGACTTGCTGACTTTCTTCTCTTCATTAGCACTGTGACCATTGCACATTGGTACCCTCCCTACAGTGCCAGCTGCACCAACAGAGATCTGTGACACTTCTCATTTGCACCACTTCCACTCAGTCTTAATGCAAACTAAGTTCTTTTCTCTGTAGTTACACAGGATAATAAAGCTGATCAACCAACAAGTACAAAGTTTGATGCATGAAAGACCTCACATTATTTATTAACCTTTCATTAACCTTTCCTTCTCATGTGCTGACTACCAGCTTCAGACAATTATGAAATGTCTAACCAAGCACATTCTTAAGTACAAGAACATTTCCAATTGTGAAAGATAACTTACTGTTGCTTTCTGACACACTGGTCACACTCTTATAATGTGCTTAAAATAAGCTAGTCTCAAAATATGCCTGTGACTGATCCTGCTAAGGAGGAAGTAGTTAATGAGAAGTAATTCCGATGGAAAAGGCTCTTTATTCCCTTAACACAGGGATTATCATCCACCAAGGTGGTTTAGGCTCGATCTTGTTCTTTACTTGTTCAAACACCGTCAACTTTTGACTGTCATTTAGTGATCTTTAAGAGCCTTAATTACAAGCATAGTTTTTGTAGTTCTTTTCTTAAAAGGAAGCCAGCTACTCTTGTGGGAAGTTGTTTTTTTAAGATGACATCTGATCCAATCTGGCCCAGATGTCATCTTAATAAGCATTTGAGGAGTTCAAGATAAGCATGGGGTGTGTAATGGGAGAGATGCTTTTCCTCTTTGAATGCCACTTTCCAAACCATCTCTTCCATTTGCTAGTGAGAGAGGGGTTAAGGACCTTGTATGTTTAAAGCAGTGAGGCCTGGATGTACAAACGCAAATTTTCATAAGCATAAAGCCATGGTCAGTGTCTCCATAAACTACTGTGCTCAGGATTTTCACACATCAGCTGTTCTGAAGGTTTGTCCCCCAAAGGTCTCACCTTTAAAAGCACAGATTGTGCCTGCTCCCAGCATGCTGGCAGGTTTTGTGTCTCTGGTGTTCCCGCAGCTTTCTGCAGCACTAGCTGTGCAAGCTGAGCTCTGCCAGAGCAGGACTCTGGCCTTGGCAGAGGCTCAGAGTCACTACTCTTAATGTCATCCTATAGACAGTCAACAGCAATTTTACACTATTGAAGTGACAAATTACTTAAGGTAATCTTTATACCTAAAACATGGGGGAAAACCATTCAGGCTGTATGTAGATACTAAGATGCTTGCTTTACTCATTTTTCAGGTTATTCTTTTACTGATTAAAACAACAGTCCAACTCATGGTGCTTTTCAGTGAGTCTTATTAGAAACCTGTTAAAATTAATAGGAGTTTTGACTCAGGCCCTTTAATCATAAAGCCTGCAATTTTTCTTATGCCTGTATTATTGTGTGTTTTTTCCAAAGAAATTCCAGCATCCGTCAGTAAAAAGTCTGCATCGAGGTCAGTTCATCTGGAATCTGGCAAATGTTCCTCTTCTAGATCAGTTCATTTATGCCTTGGGCCAGAACAAATACTGTGCAGTGGTGGAGCAAGTTATTGAGCAGTTTAAAAGCAAAGTAATACCCAAGCTAAGCAGTTTCCGAGCCTGTGAGTATTTTATTCTCATTGTAATTATGTTGAACTGAGAGACAGAAATTTCATACAGGAGTTTGGCTCTGTAGAGAAGGAAAACAAAAACAGCAAAAAAAGTAAATCTCTTTTCCCTAGCCTAGACATGGACAGAGCACAGAGTAAGCCAAGGGGAATGTTCTGTCCAGTCAGGGTCAGTTCTTTATTTTTCTGATGAGTTTCCTCCCAGTTAAGTTTATGATTTTTGTCCTGTTATATCAGCTTACTAAATATGTATGGAGTAAAGTACTACCTTTCATAAAAGCCCAAATAAGTACTTAATCAAAATTTTGGAATACAAATGATGTTGATATTGATGATGATGTGACAATTCTATAGTTAGAAACTACCGTTGTGCGTTTGCAAACATGCAGTGTACCACAGGTCACAGCAGCCTGGAGTGTGATCCCGTAACTCTCCCTCTTCTCCTCTGCTGTTGGTCATCTGGCAGTGCAGTGGAGCTTCCCAGGAAACAGTAAAGGTGTGAAAGGCAGCACTTGATGCTGCAGGGGACTAGTGCAGTTTTGTAGCTGAGTGTTAGTTTGATGTGCATCTTCCCAAAGCTGTTTCAGCTGTTTAATAATTATTAAATACTGTTTCTATTTCTTCTGTGTTTAGGTATCAATCATGGAGACCTTAATGACCACAACATTCTAGTAGACTCCAGTTCTGCTTCCCTGGAGAATCCCCAGTACAGAGTGTCTGGCATCCTGGACTTCAGCGACATGAGTTACGGGTATTATGTGTTTGAGCTTGCGATAGCCATTATGTACATGATGATTGAGAGCCCAGACCCTCTGAGTGTTGGGGGCCATCTTCTCGCAGGCTTTGAGAGCATCCTGCCGCTCACCGCTGAGGAGAGAGGTGCCCTCTTTCTCCTGGTGAGTGGGAGGTTTGCACAGTCTCTAGTCATCGCTGCCCACACGGCTCTTCTGTACCCAGAGAACAAGGAGTACCTCACAATCACGGCGAAAACTGGCTGGAAACACTTAATGACAATGTTCGAGGTGGGCCAGGAAGCCGTGGAGAAGACGTGGTTTGAGACTGCCCAAGCGTACACACACCACGCACCTGCCCCGTAGGTCCGCGGGTGCTGAGGTACTGGCGGTGACATCGGACTGAATAAAGCACTCAAAAAAGGCGGCCCTGTCTGAGCTGGATGGGCGCGTCCGCGGGCAGGGCGGGGCCCAGCGCATCTCCCCGGGAGAGAAAACCATTGCCGCCCCCATGGCAGGCCCCCGCGTGTGGCCATTAGCGCACTCACAGCGCGGGGCCGGGGTGTGCCCACGATGCGCTCTCAGGGCAGGAGCCGGGCTCCGTGCCGCCCTCAGGCAGGGCCGCGCTGTGCCGGTGACCCGGCCTGGCGCGGTGGGCGGCGCCGTTTCCCGCCCGCTCGGCGGAGCCCGGGCACGCGCACGCCACGCTGCGGGCCGCGCGCGCCAGCCCCGCCCCGCTGCCAGGAGAGGGCGCAGGCCCCGCCCCGGGGGCAGGCGGCACCGCGCAGGCGCGGCGGCCATTTACGACACGGCGGTGACGGTTCAGGCGCGGCCGCAGCGCCCGGTTCGTGCCCGCCGGCTGGGCCTCGCCGCCCCCCGCCCGGCCCAGCGGCTGCCTCCGGCCCGCCGTGAGTGAGGACGGGCGGCGGGTGGGTGCTGGGGCGCGGGACGCGTCTCTGCCCGGCGCGGCCCTCGCGTTCTGCCGCGCTGAGGATGACTGTGCAGTGCGGGCGGCAGCGCCCCCTGGGGCCGTGCCGGGGTGCGCTCGGTGCCGGTTCCCGGGGTTCCCGGTTCCCGTGCCCTGTGCTCTCTTGCAGGCCCGGTGCCGGTTCCCGGGGTTCCCGGTTCCCGTGCCCTGTGCTCTCTTGCAGGCCCGGTGCCGGTTCCCGGGGTTCCCGGTTCCCGGGGTTCCCGGTTCCCGTGCCCTGTGCTCTCTTGCAGGCCCGGTGCCGGTTCCCGGGGTTCCCGGTTCCCGTGCCCTGTGCTCTCTTGCAGGCCCGGTGCCGGTTCCCGGGGTTCCCGGTTCCCGGGGTTCCCGGTTCCCGTGCCCTGTGCTCTCTTGCAGGCCCGGTGCCGGTTCCCGGGGTTCCCGGTTCCCGTGCCCTGTGCTCTCTTGCAGGCCCGGTGCCGGTTCCCGGGGTTCCCGGTTCCCGGGGTTCCCGGTTCCCGTGCCCTGTGCTCTCTTGCAGGCCCGGTGCCGGTTCCCGGGGTTCCCGGTTCACGTGCCCTGTGCTCTCTTGCAGGCCCGGTGCCCTCTGCCCGCGGCGCGTCCCCGGCACCATGGTGAGTGACCCGCCTTGCCCGGAGCTTTGCTGAGCCGCGGGGGCGGCGGTCACCGGTGACCCGCCCGAGGTCACCGAATGGCTGGGTCTGTTATATAGGGGCTTTAGGGCGTGGGTGACAAGAGACTGGTGATACTTACTGAGCTATTCCTTTTACAGTCTCGAAGATATGACTCCAGAACTACCATCTTTTCTCCGGAAGGTATTTTTTAACCCGACATTTTAAAGTCAACTCTGACTGTTGTATCTTCTCAAAGCTGTCAAAAACACTTGCAAAAAGGGTGGTTGTTAGTAGCAGTAGTTTCTGTCTGAATATGAATTACAGATATCTTATTTCCCACACTTAATTCTGTAGGGACTGCAAGGGTCCAAAGTGGACACTTTGAAATTCATTCTAATTCAAGCAATAGTGAGACTGAGTCCCATTAGTGAGTAATATCACCTGCCATGTTTTTTAAATAACCATTTATCTCTTGTTTGAGCATGGTTAGGTTTTGTCACTATTCCCTGAGAATGGATAATATCCTCCTGGTGCAGTCACGCCTCTCGTTGTCTTGTTATTCTTGCACATGTTGAAACAAGTGCATACAAACCACGTTTGCTTACTTCTTAGATGGGAGGAACCCAAGAAATAAGATATTTTCTTTGTTTACTGAAAATTTGTCTTGGGTTATTCTGCTGCAGCAAGGAATTATTTTAATTTTTTTCTTTTTTTTTTTTTTTTTTTTAACAGAAAAGTGGTTTGGTTTTTTTTAATAGAAAGAGTTTTTTTCCCCCAGTAGCCATGTCCAGTATTTTTTTCCTTCTCTGACTCCTTCTTGCTTTTCAGCCAATTAATATACAATTGACTGGTAAGAGACTGAAGAATTAGATGGGCCAATGAGCAGCTGTCAGATCTTGTAACTTTCAGTCACCTTGTGCAGTTGGTCTTGCTTCTTGTCATTTTTTGATGACAGGCATTCCAATCCTTTCCCAGGTCGCCTGTACCAAGTTGAGTATGCGATGGAGGCCATTGGGCACGCGGGCACTTGCCTGGGAATTCTAGCAAACGATGGAGTGCTGCTGGCAGCAGAGCGGCGCAACATTCACAAGCTTCTCGATGAAGTGTTTTTCTCAGAGAAAATATACAAACTTAATGAGTAAGTTAAAATTGTGATTAAATGTCCTGTGATGTTATTAACAGCAAAGTGCTGATTAGCACATAACCTGGTTATTTTATTTGAAGTGTTAATAATCTTTTTGTTTGGTGTTTTAGACAAGCATGACTATTCTGTCATTGTTCACTTTAGTAGTTCCCCTTCTAAAGTAGAAGTATTGCTGGTTTGGTTTTTTTATCTTCAGGAGAATTTTCTAGGTGGAATAACCTGTTTGTTGGTACTATGCTATACAAGGTAATGGTATTGTAGCAATTAAGAAAACTGGGAAGTCTCAGTTTTATGAAATACCATTGGGGGGCAGAATAAAGAGTGCACAAAAAAATTACCATGCTATTTCAGTTCCCTTTCCGCATCTCTGTTTTTCTTTGCTGGCTCAAAAAGTCTGAGGTAACTGGGTAAAATGTGCCTTAGGCTTCTTTGCCACAGTTGTAGCAGAGATGAAACGTCTGTCTATTACCATTTTCATTCTAACTCCTGGAAGTTAAATTTGGGATGTCAGAGCAAAGAGTTTATGGATTATGCTTTTTTGTTCTAAGGGAGGTAGAGCTTCATCCTTGACAAAAGCTGCAAATGAACATAAATAGTTTTCCATCCTGTCTGCCTCCCATTCCATGTTGATCTTGAAAGCACCTGGAAGTGCTTTTAAGATCAACATGGAAGTTGATCCTGAAAGGACATACTGGATTTTCAAGGAGGCAGTGGAACAGCACACTGGAGTAATCACCTAGAACAGCCCTTCCATCTTTCGTAAAATTCCCAATTTCACAAATTTTTTTGTGTAGCAAAAGGTTTGTAGCATATCAGATTGAGCTAAAGAGATACTAAATTAAGATCCAACAAAACAATCAAGGATTGAAGTGCTCATTTTTCTTAGGGGCCTATCAAGACCATGAAGTTTCAGTTACACAGATGCCATGTGTCAGCCAGCAGCTCCCACTGAAGGCCTGGCAGATCTGTGTGGCTCCTTCAGTGTTGAGACGTGCCTCCTGAGAGGCACCTGTATGTATGTACCTAATGGCTCTCGTAAAACCACTCAGAACTTAATCATCCTTGGCATGACCCTCTTCTCAGAACTGTATGTATAACTAACATACTGACTTGCTGACTTTGGCTGTCCACCTGCTCTTAGCAAATGGTTACTGATACTTTTGGTGCACCCTAAAGGCAGGAGCTGATGAACCCATTTTGTACAGCAGCCGTGTAGCTTTGATGAGAAAAGCCTGACAGCAGGTGCTCTGCTTGAGCCCCTGGATGAAGATGTTGGTTGGAGATTGACAGGAATTCAGTTAACTTGTATGCCTTTCTTGCAGGGATATGGCGTGCAGCGTTGCAGGAATAACTTCAGATGCCAATGTTCTAACAAATGAGCTGAGACTGATTGCACAGAGGTAGGTCTGCTGACAGCTAACATGGTTTTACTCACCTGTGCTGTCACAGTCAGCTCTCTTTATGCATTAGATCAGAATGAACATGCATTTTAGTAGATTAGAAGTAGGTTGAAATAGAACAGCTAGATCACAGATACTCTAACTTGGGAACTTGTTTCCTCTTAAATGTTGTGCAGGATATGGTCAGCAAATCAAAACTGTTTTTTTTCCTCTTTGATATTAGGTATTTGTTACAGTATCAAGAGCCCATTCCTTGTGAACAGCTAGTAACAGCTCTGTGTGATATCAAGCAGGCTTATACACAATTTGGAGGTAATGAAGTGTGATGAATCATTGTGTTACTAAATGTCTCAAGAACAATTCTCTTACATAATGTGAAGGATCTAAGTCAGTGGACAGTTCTACTGAATTCTCTTTAAAAGTTATACTCCGGAAAAAATAGCCTAATTTAAGAGGGGAATGGGTAGACATGGTTACTGTTTTTTGCTGCTGGGGCTTCTACTTTTTATGGCTTGGGAAATTGATAGCTGAGATGCTGGCTCATTGCATAGAATGCTTGAGTGCTCTTGCATTTAAATAATGCCTTCAGAAGACCAGGAGAGAATTGTTTAAGCAACCTTTCAACATTTTGGGCCCATCCACCATAATGGCACAATGTATCAAAAACAAGGCTGTATATAGGGATATCAATATTCTAACACTTGACAAAAAGTTGTGTTTATGTGGATCAAGCAACATGTTAGAAAACGATATTGTAGTATTCCTTAGTACGTGAACTGATGATTCTGTTGTTTTACATAGACATTGTGGGAGAGAATTACCTTTTAAACTACCTGGCTTTTGACATTGCTAAGTTAAATGCTTTAACAGCTAAGCTACGTACCTGAAATACTAAATTTTGATTTAAAGTCCTGAGATAGTAAATTACAATTTGTGAAGCTCTTGAGGTTAAATGGAATAAATCTCTGCTGCCTCCCATGCCATGACTTAGAAGGAAATACTGATGTGCTTATCTCAAGCAACAGAAGTGCAGTACTGTCCGTTAAATCCTAGTTCACAGGAATAGATTGAAAAACTAAATCAAAGAAAATAATTGTAACTTGTGACCAATCTTGTTACTAAATTTAGGTTGCTAATAGCCTTCTTTTCAACAGGAAAACGTCCTTTTGGTGTTTCATTGCTCTATATTGGCTGGGATAAGCATTATGGATTTCAGCTGTACCAAAGTGATCCTAGTGGAAATTATGGCGGGTGGAAAGCCACATGCATTGGGAATAATAGTGCTGTAAGTTCTGGGTTTTTTCTTCTCAAAAAGATAACTTTAAAAGTGTAAATTGTACTGTATTAATTAAGTTGAGTTGTTGATTATTAGTGCGGGAGAGATTTACAGGTAATTGGAGGAATGCTGCTGTTAACTCATGTGTTGGCATTATCTGGCAAAACCCCACACCCCAGCTGTGTGGTTGATTGCCCAAAGACACCATTTTAATTTCTGTGAATTTTACAGGCAGCTGTGTCAATGCTGAAGCAAGACTACAAAGAAGGGGAAATGACCTTAAAGACTGCCCTGGCATTGGCCATTAAGGTTCTAAATAAGACCATGGATGTCAGTAAGCTCTCTGCTGAGAAAGGTGAGGGTTCTCAACATGGGACAGCACCCTCTGCTTAAACAAAGGGAGCAGCGAGTGCACGTATTCCAGATGTGGCTCACTGGAGTGTTAGTTGTCACAAAAAAATGTTTTCAGAAGATGCAGCAGTTCTCAGCTTTAGCCTAAGAGGCATTCAGATAGCTTAGTCCAGGCTGGTGGGCCCTGTTGGCCAGCTCCAGAGGCGAGACTGCAGCCTGGGGTTGGAATGCCTGCGTGTCTGGGAGCAGAACCCTGAGAGGAGCTCCCCTGCTGCTGTACTCTGCTGCAGGAGGGAGCTGAGGGTGGCTGCCTGCAGCCAGGCTGTGTGGCACAGGGAGCATTGGAGCCTTCTGCCTCACTGTCCCTTGTAATCTCAAACCTTGCCCTGCTGATGATTGCTCTGCCTAAACGCTGCTGTCTGTTCCATGTGTTTCAGTTGAAATTGCAACACTGACAAGAGAGAACGGAAAGACAGTAATAAGGGTTCTGAAGCAAAAGGAGGTGGAACAATTGATAAAACAACATGAGGAGGAGGAAGCAAAAGCTGAACGTGAAAAGAAGGAGAAGGAACAAAAAGAGAAGGAGAAATAGAATATGAAATCAAGTGTTCTCTAAATAATAAAGGACCTGCTTCAGCAAAAGATAATCTGGATTTCTGCGCTGTAGAAGCCTACAGCTATGCCATGGAAGACCCAGAAGCACTTTTGATGAACCAGGTCCTTAGTCATCATTTAGATAATTAGTTTACTGCTCTTTACATCGACCAATAATTGCTTTAATTCTTGAACACTCTTTCTTTCATCTTCTATTTTTTATTATGGAATAAAATTTAAGAAGAATAGTGATGGGTGTCTTTATTTCCTCAGTAATGCCTGGATATGCACGATCTTGAGGCATTTAATTGCTTTAAACCATTAAAACAAGGTATATGCTAGTTGGTAAAGAACAAATATGGTGTTAGAATTGTTAGAATTTTGTGTGTACGTGTGGGTTTTCTTTAAAAGGTAGTGAAAAGAGCTCCTAAGTTTGAAAAGTCCTTTCACAAATACAGAATTAAAGTGTGCTGGCATGCCAAGTTTTAGTTTTGGCCTATTTTGTTCTGTAGCAGGCTCTGTCAAACTGATGGTCTTGCAAGCAGTAGTGTTTTAAAAATGCCCTGTAGCAAATGTGTTCAGTTTATCATAGCTTTCACAAGTGCATGTGTTTTCTAAAGAATGAATCATACAACACTAGTTATATTCACACAAACTAGAAGGACATTTTACAAAGGCCATGTGAAAATGCTTTATCTTGTCGAAGTACAAATAGGTAAGTAAAATAGTGTGTGATTTTTAGGCCATGTTGACTACTTCACATTTTATCCTGAAAGGAAATTAAGATGTTATATTTTTAGTTTAGTGTTGCTGATACTTCCCCAGTGAATTTGATTCCTTTCTCTGACACACCAGTCAAGAAAACTAACCAGTTAACCACCAAGAAATCATATTTGTGTATTAATTAGGAATCATAGTCATTTTTGTCCAGCTTGCCCTTGTACTGAATACACATTCATACTGAATGCACAAAGTATGATTGTCAGATTAGCAAAAATCTCTTCTGAAAAAAAATCTACTGAACAAAAGAGATGAAAAGTTACTGAAAATTACTGTGCACTCATTCATGTATCAAGTGCAAAGTGAAAAGCCTGAGGGCTTAAAAGTGAGGCCTTGCTGAATTTCAAACCATGACAGCAATGATCCAGCCCGTTTGTGCCCACCCTGGATTGTATTGATCTTGTAGGTTGGTTTGGTTTTCTTACCCCAAAGGATATTTGATGTATACAGGATTTAATAGGACCATTTAAAGAAACTTGAGTGAATCCATATGGTGTTTTGTTGGTTTGATGCATCTTGGACATTTTTGACTAAAATGTATTTTGTCAACATGGCTAGAAATGACCCTCCCAGCTAAACCCATTTTTGAGCTCACTGCTGTAAGAGTCACTGTGGAGAACAGAGGGAAGGAATCTAACTGAAGATGTCTGTGCTGCAGCTTGTGTAGTTGTCCTGCACTGACTCTGGCAGCCTCTGTGCAGAGAGGGGGGAGGCTGTGGGTTCTCTGTAGGACCTGCTTGGCCATTCTCTACACCTTGGTGCAACCCGATTGCTTTAGTCTTTAGCACTGAACTTAGATAGCATTTTGTTAATAACCAAATTTTATAGCTAATGAAAGTTCAACTGATGTATTTACACCTTGTGCAACAGTAGGTCTTCCAAATAACAACATAGGAATGGTGTTCCATGTAACAAGTCCTGAATAGTTGCAGACAACATGCAATGGGTAATATTTAATCTCTATTATAAAGGATTGTGTAAATACCTCAAGCTCCATTTTATCTAAAAATTCAGTGCTCAATCTTTATTTTTTGATACCATGAATGCAATGTATCAGCCTCTTTTGCAAATTTCTGGATCGCTGATTATGGTTATATAAGTGCTTGGAATATGCTCTAAAAGAAGCAATGCCAAAATGGAGTTTTTTCTCACTTCTCAAAGATTACTTGCAACAATATGTGATAGGTTCCAGCAATGCTTTCTATCTTCTGGGAAACTGATAGTGCATCTGAGCTTGTGTTCATCAATGTATATAGTTCATAAAAGGCAGTTTGTTTAGTGTAATAGTGTAAGTATTATCAGATAGCTTAGAATATAGACTTAGTAAAATATTTTTCTTAGAAGCATCTTTTTCTAAAAAAAATGGGGATAACTCATATATGCATATTTTGGTTTAAAGAATTACCAATACCATTTTTTTGCCAAACATGGCATCAGTTGCTGGTAAAGGAGAACTTTTTAGATACTGTAATAATAAAAACTTGGAATGACTTAAATGAATATATTGAAGCGTTGTAATAAGTTTTAAAAGATCTATTTATTTAAAGGTTTTGTTTGCACAAAGTGGAAGAAGTATTGTCTAATACTTCATGAGTATAATCTTTGAACATTAATTACCAATTTAATTTAAAAAACCATCATCTCTTCTGAGTGCCATTGATATCTGATTGTGAGCTGAGCCTCAGTACTGCCTTGGAATAGGCGAGTAACTCTAGCTGGCAGTCATGTCCAAGATGTACAGCCAAGTTCTCCTAACCAAAATTTTATTTGTGGTTCATTTCTGCATTTGAGCATAGGGCAGTAAGCAGATGCTGGAGATCTTTCATTATTAGAATCTTCCTGAGCCATCTGGACACTAATGCAAGTTTCTTTCCTGTTCTTCCTAGAAATAAGAGCAGCATTTGACTGCACTGGCCTATTGTATTGAGTCTGGCTTTGTGTGTTAAAAAAAAAAAAAAAAATCACCACCAACTGTGCCTTTTCTGGGAGTGGTTTGGGGATAAGTCGTAAGAACAGAAAAATTATTCTGGCGATACATTTGAGGTATCTTTGCTAATCAAAATGATCTTCCTGTTCTTTGTATGGTTTTTTTTTTTGGTGTACGTAGTGTTTACATAGAGTTTACAGTGTAATACCATAAGTATTTAAAATATTTAGCTATTGCTGTGGATTTAATGTTATTTTAAAACAAGAACTTCATGTGGTGCTGTGGAAGGTGACAGATTTTTCAAATTAGGTAAAAGTATTTATTGAAAATTGTTTGCATAATACGATGTTTGTAAACTTAAAAAACTGGATAGCTTATAGCTCACTTGAGTGCATGATAGAACTGGTTAGGGCAAATATGCAAATATTGACAAATAGATTGTCCTAAGAAATTGTAATGTGGCTTGTTATTCTAAGTAGTTTAAGAGATAATGAAACTACTGCTTCTCCGATAATTACTGTGCTGTGTCTTGCATCCGTCGGTGTTTAAAAATAGTTAGCTTGTTTTCTAGGTGACTGTATTCTGTTCAAATAAAGTCAAATTAACTTCCAAGACTGCTCTTTATATGACCTCCTTTAGGTATGCTTCCCTCTCCATCCAAATATTTTACTTGTCAGTTACAAAAGTACCCAAATTAAGAGACAACAAAAAACTTCTGATGTTAAATTTGACAGCTGCTTCTGGTTTCTTATGTATTTCCAAGGCAATTATTTAGTCTTTCTCTTCATAACATTAAAATTAGGAAGAAATACTTCTCCACTGTGTTGTGAAAATGAATATAATGACTGAAAGGTGTTCAATGGTTTCAGAGGCCTCAGGACTGTGATACATAGATAAGACAGCTCAATATACAACACATACAAGTCCAAGAAGCTGGTGCACTCAGATACTTCATACATGAGAGAAATTGTGTTGTTTCTGGTGGAGACTGGTGGAGATTCTAAGACTTATTCAAAAGTCTTTCATTTTCTTTAAAGAGTGTTTTCTGCTACATTTTTCTGCTGTAAAAATTAGCCTAATTTTCAAGATTTAATTGCAGTTATTTTTACTACAATATGAAAACCCACTGAAGTTACTGGATCTAAGAGTACCCTTCACTGGCTTTAATCTGGAGAAAATTCAGCTTCACAAAGTTTTTAGAACATTTCTCATTTTACAAATAGAACTTAGCAGCTGGCTATTTTTATCTGTGTTTAATTTGGCATTTGGCTTTCCAGTTAAACTGCTCTTCAGTGCACAGTAAAAGCTGCCATCAGCCAATTTATTGCAGATTCTCAGAGTGTACTTTAGCAGGGACCTTTAGATGTCACCTCCTGCTGACAAGGGTCTTTTGAAAGACAATATTACTCATGTAATTGTTTAGGCTTTCACTTAATGGTAAATATTAGACTAAACATGCTGCTGATACTATTAACATTCTGCTCCAAGTTCAAAGCAGCAGGAAAAAACCGCCTACTTACTCATAACTACTGTTTTCTAAAACATTAATAATACAACATAATTAACACGTGCCATAAGATGCTACATAAAATATTTAGCAAAACGTTGGGCATGTAACCCAGACGGTTTAATCTTTTTATATCCTACAGCATCTGTTTTGCCTAGTTAGGATCCAGCTGCACACAAATCCACAGTTATGCAATAAAACCAGTTTCCTATGTTCTGCACGTTCTAGTGGCAGCTATGTTCAACACTGGTAGTGACACATTATGGCTCTAAAATGCATCTGCTGCAGTGCACAGAAATATAGATTTTTACCTGATAACCTCATGTTAGGAACACCAGGTGCAGTGGTGAACCAGCTTGCATCAAAAACTACAGAGCTGCAATTTCAGTACAAATATGCCCAGTAATTCTTGAAGCACTCAGAAAATACCAGAACTAGAGTGTCACAAAAAAAAAAAAAAAAAAAAAAAAAAAAAAAAAAAAAAGAAGTGGAGGTGGTTTGTGCCCTATTTTGGGCTAAAATATATTTTTCATTTACTATAAAATCTTGAGTTGACAACTGCATATACATTGAGCATCTCAAAATAAGAGCATGCTGCATCCTTTACACAAATATTTTGATTGTAGAAGATATGCCATATACAAATGGATTCTCAATATATAAAATGACCATATTTACTGCAGAGCATGCAAATCAATACAGCCTGTCACTAGAAGTGTGCTGGAAGAAACTCCTGTGTAAGCAGCCTTTTTTGTGTGCTTGTACAGACTGCATTATGTCTTGCAGAGACATGCACAACCCAAATATGGCTTGCAGGAAAAGATAACACAGAAAAACATGAGTTTAAAAATTAAGTAAGGGATTGAAATGCTCCAGTATTCTTTTTTGGTAATTGAAAAGAGTCACTGTTTACACAGAGGGATTCAGTTTTTCTGTAAAATAAACAACTGGTATAAAAGAATTTTGACAATTAACAACATGCAAATTGAAATTGCTGTTTGGGTAGCGCTCATTCTAGAAATTACTTTATTTAATTAAGGACTATTTTCCTGAGGAATGCAGTATCTAGCACTTTTCATATAGAAGCTGATTAACACGGCAAAGTCATTTAGCCCTTCTTTCCAAGTCTCTTCTCTCTATGAAATATTAAACACTGTCTTAGATGTAAAAAATGCATTAATGGCAGCTGCTTCTATTTTTTCTGCAATGCATACACTATACATTTCCATTAGGATGATTTAGAAAAAACACTGGTTAAATTTTACAGT